GGACTGATATTGTTTTGGATTGCTGTAAATTGCCCAGAGAGGTTTGGCTATGGGGTGGTATAGAAATGGTGGTGGTGGCAGCGGTATATTTTATGGTTTCATGAGGTTTGTTTTGTGACCTGCCCAGAAAGCTTCAGCTAATAGGTAGTATAAAAATATAATCAAGCAATCATCAAAACAGCACAGTGTGGGAGATGGTGGAAGAAATGGTCTGAGCAGTACACTTAGGAGATTAGCCCAGGTACCTCAGTCTCTCATGTGTGCAAGGAAAGAAGCTTCCCAACTTTATTCAGTGGGATACAAGTTTTCAGTCTAGCATTCACTGAACCTAAAACCTTATGTCCTACATAGGGCTAGATAACCTTATGATGTGTTTGACTGGTGTGGGCTGGCAGCTCATAAATAACACCCCCAATGAACTCTTCTGGTTTTGGTTGTAGTAGTGTAGAAAGAAGCTCCTCTCTGATATAATCATCAGAAACAGGAAATTGGCTAGGGAAACTGTTAGATCACTGACAGTCAAGGATGTTAAAGCAGCACTGGAGGAGGAACAGAACATAAAGGAATTCTTCCATCTTTACTGCAGGAAAGACAGCTACCCTTAACTGAACTAATATTTTCAGAAAAGAGTATAAAAAAATAGTGGTGAAGGAAAGAATATCATATTGTCCAACAAAAAACAAATGAATACTGAGTCCAGATGGTATTCACACAAGAGTTCTTAAATGATTCAAATATGCAACTGCTCACATTCTGATAAAAGCTTGTTACAAAAATATGTAAGATCAAGGACTAACACCCAGCAAAGGTAACTCCAGCTTTTACAAAGGCTTTTGGCAAAGTTCTCACCAAAGACTCCTAAAATACATTTAGCAGCAGGTAGAGGTTTAGGCATCAGGTTTTTCTATTAACAATATTGTGGGCTTATTATTATATTTATTTTTGATATTGTTGCATTATTTATTTTGATACTGTTGATATTCGATATTGTTCTTTGATATTGTATTTTTCATTTGATTCATTGTATTATTTACTTTGGATTTTGGTATACTGTTTTATTGTGTATTTACAAATTGAATTGTATACTGCCCAGAGAGCCCAATCACACCCTACAGCCCCATCATACTATGGGGTGTGATAGATATGAAAATTGAAAGGAAAATTAAGATTCATTGGGCCTGTCTCTTTTCATGCAAGATAGTTTTCTTTATCATTTCCAATAGTATATATCCCTGCTTGACAGTTGAGTGAAAAGTACTGTATCAGGTAATGACTACACTACATTTTGTATTTTATAAAACTTTGCATGCTGTGACCTATGATTTGAGATCCTTGCAGATGCATCAAGTTAGAAAGACTTATTTGTATACCAGTTGTCAGCATGAGAAGCAAACAGCTGGAAAGCTTGTGGGGCTTCTGTTCCTCAAGAACCATAAAAAAATTTTGTTCTTGGATTTTATTACTGATACCTTTTCCACTGTCCTTGGATTTTATCACCAACAAGGCCAAACTGCTATTTTGGTGATGGTAGATTCATTCACAAAGAGGGCACATTTAATGCCATGAGGCATTAGCCTTTGCCTGGACAACAGCTGGGCTGTTTCTTCAATGTGCCTTCCATTAGAATGCTTAGCTGGTTGGACTTGTCCAAATTATGACCCTCAATCTAAAGCCCAGTTTTGGAGAGAGCTTCTATTCTGAAGGTGGACCTTTGGTTGTCATTGCCTCACAATCCCCCAAACTGATGGACAAACTGAACACACTAACATAATTTTGGAGCAATATTTGTGCCACTATGTCAATTTTCAGCAGGATAACTGGGTGTCTCTCCTGTTAGCTGGATTTGCTTATAACAATGCCCCATATTCTTCAAAACAGGCATACTGTATTTGGCTAGCAAATCTGATAATGAAATTTATCATTATCCTCTGCTAGTTGATCCACAGTAATAATCAACTTATCTATCCAAATCTTGATTCTGCAGTATGATCAATTTATGGATCAAAATGTAATTGACATGGTATTAAATGTTATGTACATATCTCTAGCAACCATAAATGTGAAAGAAATCCTATTTATTTTAATATCCTGAGATCCTAATGCAATCCATTTGGAAAGATGATACAGATAGAAGGATTTCAGAACTAAGGTGAACAACCTAATCTAAGTATGAAAAATTATAGTTTAGTACAAGTCAGCAACAGGCCCAGTGATACAAAGCAAGCCTCAGAAAGCCAAACCCACCTTCCTTGAAGGAATATTTTATCATTTTCAAGAAAGTTCATGACAGAAAGGAACCCAAGGAAAAAATGAGAGAAATCAATATTTTCTAGGTTTAAATAGAGGAAATCCATGTATTACATAGAAAATCCAAAGTATGCATATCAATCATCATGAATGTAATTGTACTCTACAAGCGCAACCTTAGAAATGGCCTACTGCCTATACACTGTGAGATCTCAGTCAATTTGTTCATAATATTGAACAGTACTGAATAATATTGAACACTGGGCACTGCTGATTCTTAAAGTTCCTATACAGGGTTGACTAAACTTTTAAAAAGATTTTTATAAGCCAAGAAATAATAAAGCCAGTTTGCAATTTCCCCAACCGAGCAAATTTGTTAAAAACTACCAGTTAGCCATTTATGAGACATGTTGGGAAAATGGTGAGCAACCTAGTAACATTTTGTCACATTGTGTTAAATAGCAAATATTTCATCTATTGAAGATAAGAATGATAGGCTATATAACTTTGCTACGGACATTTACAATTTAAAGTTTTATTTTGATATGCATTGTTACGAATAGCAAAACACTGGAGTAGGATATGAATGTTTTTATGCTCGTGCTAATCTCTCATGCACTTATTCCTCACAATGACTGTTTTGTATGGCTTCTTTGCTTATGAAAACAATTACCACTTAGAATTGTAAGAAATCACCAGGTCTGGATGGTGCGTGCGTGCATGCCTGTGCGGATTCTCACAACGGGATGGTATAACACAGTTTCTAGTTTCTTAGGGACATAGCTTATGTTTTTGAGCAGGGACCATTTCTGCCATCATTAAACAATGCTTATGTTGATTCCCAAACATGGGAAGGATCACACTTACTGTACGGTACTGTGTGTGTGTATGTGTGTGTACCTTTATTGCACCAGAAATGACAATCCATTCTGGTTTTCCACGCGGATGTTACTACACGGTTACCTTTGGATTTTCATGCAGTGCAAAGAGAAGCTGGGCGCCAACGTTTAAGGAAACTACAACTCACAAATGTTCAGGAGTCATTCTGCACACCATGTCATTCTGTCACAAGCTTGTTACATTCCTACTAAGTCTGAAGAACATGGTGCCCTATTACTTTGCTAGCAGCAGAGTTCCCTTGACCATCTGTACAGAGCTAGGCACCAGCCCTTGAATAGGTGCTATTGTTCAAACTGTGACTCATCCTTTTTACCTTTCAGAACCTTCTTTATAATAATCAGTACAAGTATACATGTAGCAAGCAGGATAGATTGTTGTTATATATTCAAACTTTCGGGTTCCAGTTAGTAGTTTGTAAAATGTATTTGCATGCATGCACAGAAGTACACACACACATATACACATACTTTTAACTCTAGTCTAGAAGCTGAGTTGTAATAGTTTAGAAAGCAGTTATAACAGATGAGCTACAGCTAAAGCAAGTTGGTCAATACAATCTTTTTGAAACAGTTTGTCAATGACTTAAGAATATTTGATATAGAATATTTAATCACATTCAGCAACGTATGTTCATCCACTAAAAAGAATGATGAAAATATAACAATTTTCTTCTACAAACACTAAACAATTCATGGTTATAGAACAGGGCTTCAAGCTTTCCCCTTCTCTTTTCCGAGTTATTAGAAAAACCAATTTCACACTTAAGAACTGTGTGGGATATGCAGTGTGGGCACAGAAGGAAGCACAGATGGAATTGTGGAGATCATCCCATTACATGAATAGAGGAGTCATTTAGGATCCACCCATTTCAACTTGTCCTATTTCAGTACCAATCTAGCAGCAGTAAAAATTCACAACATGGAGCTATAAGTAAATGTATTCTAGAATTAAGTATCATCAGTATTTTAGTCTGCTATTTGAGATTACATATTGAAAGACTACTAAATCCTGGCTTTCCTCACAGAAACCATAGACTGCTGAAAGGACAGTGCCAATTTTGATATCAGTTATTTAGTTCATCAGTTAGTTCCACTTTCCTTGACCTGTGTCACCCATTTCAATGGACCACCAGCATAGAAGGAGCTAGTGGTTCCTGAATCAACCAGGAATGAATGTTAACATTTGTTTCCAGAGCAGAGCAGAGCACAGCAGAGCAGGCCAGCAGATATTCCAGAAAGGTGCCCCACTGACCTGTTTCTGGAAATCAATATTTACATTTTTTTCTGTGTATTTCAGGAACCATTAGTACCTATTGTACTAGCCTACTAGCACAACAGAGCTAGTGGAAAAACAGCTTCAGTACAAGATAATGCAACTGGTAAGATTTGTTGAACCGCAGTCCCCATCATCCTATTGCCAGGGAATGATAAGTGTTGCTGTTCAAGACATCTGGAGGGTACCAGGTTAGGGAAGGGTGAATTTCCTGAAGAACAGTCAGGGCATGGTCATGCTTTCTGCTGATTCTTTTAAAAGCATTTATTAAACTGTGGTCAGGCACATTTTCAAGTGGGCCCAGTTCATACCTTTTAGTTCTTCTTTGTTCTTTTTTTAAGGAGATAAGTGTAAACCTACAATAAGGAATAAATGCCACAAGAGGTTTAAAATACATTTTCATGCAAGCTGCTGTGCTGTCAGTATGAAGATCACATGCAGGTTTATCTTTTGTTTTCATCATCTTAATCCCAGACAGGTAGAAGAAATTCTGACCCAATGCCCGAGGTAGTTTTGGGATGGATAAGGGAAAACAAACTACAGCTGAACCTTACAAGAACAAGATTGGTTGGGGCACTTACTGATTTGGATGGAGGCATGCAGCCTGTTTTGGATGGGGTTGCACTTCCTCTGAAGAGGCAGGTATGCAGTTTGAGAGTCCTCTTAGTTTGGCTCTGGTAATGGAGACACAAGAAGCATCAGTAGCCAGGTGAGCTTTTTACCAGGCTCCACTGGTTTGCCAAGTACAGCCCTATCTGGAAAAGGAGGTGTTGCCTCCGTAATGCATGTTCCGGTTACCTCCAGGATGGATTACTGCAGTATCTTCTATGTTGGGAAGTTTTTAAAGGCATTCAGAAACTTGATACAGAATGTGGCAGAAAGGCTGCTTAGGGGAATTAGGCCAACATGGAACATGTTATACATATTTTTATTTCCAGGCCCTATTTCAGGTGCTGATTTTCACTTTTAAAGCCCTAAATGAGTTAGGCCTGGATATCTGAATGGACTTCTACAGCTGTACACTGCTGTGCATCTCCTTAATAGCTTATCATTATTATTTATTATCATTTATTCAATGTATGAATCACTCTGTAGCCAAAGCTCTCAGGGAACCATACATAATAAGAACAAATACCATCAAACTAATAATAAAATACATTAAAATGGCTTAAAGTAGCAAGAAAAATTTAAAATGGATTTAAAAGAGACGAATAGCAAAGCATCTGCTAGGTATCCTGCACCTTGGTGTCCTGTAACTTTGTGTCCTGAAACAACGGGATTGGACCTGATGGCTTTCATGGCCCCTTCCAACTCTACTATTCTATGATTCTATTGTTCTATAATCTAGAAAATATTTTTGAAGGCAGCTTTAGATGTTTCATTAAAACAAAACAAAGAAACAAATCTCTCTCTCTCTCTACACACACACACACACGCACGAGGTCTTCAAAAAGTTTTTATAAATATATTTTATATATTTTTTGTTGATGGCATTTAAAAGTTGGTATGATGCTGGGAAAAATGCATCACAAAGAAAGGTGACTATGTAGAAAAGCAACATAATTTGTTTTTGAAATTCTTAATAGAGCTTTAAAAAGTGCAGAAACTTTCTGAAGAACCCATATATAAAAAGCTGGGGGAATATAAAAGTATTTTCTTGGTACTGAAAAAACAGCAAAGTAGGTGGCAGATGCACCTCTCTAAGAAGTGTATTCCACAATATTAGAAGCCCCACAAAAAGGCTTGATTATGAGAAGCCACTCACCAAATTTCAATATTTGGGGAAAATCAAGGCAGGTCTCGGATAATGATCTCAGGGCACAAATAGCAATATATAAAAAGAGACATTTTCATATATTTGGCTCCAAGCCGTGAAGGGCTTTATATGTCATACATGCTTTAGATGTTACATGCTTTATATCTTAACAACAAAACCCTGAACTGAGATTGGAAGTGAAATGGAAACGAGGGAAGATGGTACAATACTGGTATGGTATGGTCATAACTCCCAGTTCCAATCTGTTTCCTAGATGCCATATTTTGTGATTCTGTAGTTTTAGGCTTTTGTCACTAATAACCACACATAAAACATTACAGTAATCTTACCAGGAGGTTACCAGAGCATGGATCATTGAAGCCACTCTGTCTTTATCCAGGTAGGGTTGTAGCTTGCATAAACTTATAAAAAGTGCTCCATGTTATGAATACATTTGTGCCTCTAGTGACAAAGTTTACTCTATAAGCACTCCCAATCTATGAACCTGATCCTTTAGGGTAAGGGTGGACAATGAACCCTGTTGCCAAAAATAACATAGATATGGACACTGATTTTCAGGGGCAAACCACTGCGAACTACTACAGTGGACAAAATTGACTTCTGTTCAAGATAATTTTGACCATTGCAGCAGTCTATAGTTGTTTATTGCTGAAAATCAGCAACAAGTTGGTATGGGCTTCTTTTGCTGCTACCAGTTGCCCCACCAAATTTTGTGGGCATTCATGAGGTGAAGCCCTGTGGGTGTCTTACTGCGGAGGAGCAAAAGTGGTCCCCAGACCTTCCAATGTTTCTCACCCTTGCTTAGGCGGAGTGCAACCCCTTCCAGAGCAGGTTGAACACCACTCACCTGGACAGATGAACCACCCACCAGTAGTACCTCCATCTTGTCTGGATTGAGCCTATGTTTATTCATCCAGTCCATTACCATGGCCAGGCACTGATAAAGTACTTCCACAGTCTCACCTGGATCAGATGAAAAAGAGAGATAGAGCAGTGTGTCATCAGCATACTGGTGACACTGCACTTTAAATCTTTGAATGATCAAACTTTGTGGTTTCTTAAATAGCTTTGGGGATAAGACAGAACTCTAAATCATAAATGTCTTTGATATGAACATAAGCAGTTCAAAACTGTAGTGCCCACACCTAATTTAGGCAGCTTCCCTAGATAGATGCCATGGTTGATTGCATCAAAAGCCACGGAGAGGTCAAGCGGAATTAACAAGGTCTTACTCTTCCTGTTGCTCTATCTGAAGAAGACACTTCACAGAAAGTTTCCATTCCAAAACCAGCCTAAAACCATATTCAAATATATCTAGATAATCTATTTCAATACTGCTTGGAACTGATCATCCAGCAACACCCAGTGGGTGTTAAATTCATATTTAAAAGGAACAGGGCATTCAAAAAGGAATAGGGCCCTAAACTTGTGAAATTCATTCCTGCATTCCTTAGTAATAATAATTTTTTGGTTTTCAATTTCAACCTGCATTTTACTAGTTTCATTGTTGTTCTGTATATTTTAGTACTGTTTACTTAGAAAGTGGTTGGGTATATTTTTAAGAATAATAATCCTATATTTGTATCATTATAGTATTTTGTTCTAGTTCTTCTATAAGCTGCTTTGTGAGAGCTTTGTGTTCTGAAATATAATTTAGAAATATGTTATCAAATTATTCACAAACGCACACAATATGTATGAGGGCGAAGTTACTGGTTGTAACTTCCTGTTCAGGGCTCCCATGACAGCAAGGTCAAGTTTGCTTGTGCATTTGTGTGTGGACCATTTTTATAATGAAAATGAGGTAAAAGATAGTATTCTAATGTGTTTTATCATTTAATTTATGTGAAACTGTCTGAAAGCCACCCCAAATGTATACACCCCTTCTTTGACAGAAAGGAATGTATAAATCAAATAAAAATGCTAAAAAAAAATAAAGTCTTCATTAAAATTCTACCACATGTTCATTAGGTAATCTGGTTTACTTAAAAGTTAGGATATACACACTTCTCCCTGCACCTCACTAAAACAGTGTTTGCACAAACTATCTCATTAGAAATGTAAATTATAAATAATTGTCATCCAATGTGTAAACTCTTTGCTAAATCTCAGCCCTATCAATTAACTAAATACATAATTTTAAATCTCTGAGGAAGTTCTGACTAACATATATTAACATTTGCAGCCTTACCTTCCCAGCTCTTTGAAAACAAATATTAATGTTAGAAGTTCATTTCAAAATAAAAATACCATTGATAAATTTGCTATATAAAATGTATTAGAGACGTTATTGATTTCTGCAGGCAAATTAAAAAACCATGTATAATATAATTCTGTTTCAGAATAAGAATTTTATTCTGGCTGTTGCTTGAAGTGATAGATTTTCAAATTTAAACAAAGCAAGTTTTCAAACAGGAATAACAATTGTAATGTTAAGAATGTGTAATGTATTAACACAGAGAAAGATAGGAAACAGGGCCATTGCATTGCACTGCATGTTTACTCTGCTTTTCTTCCTGTTGCAGGGAACCCCACATGGCTTCCAAGGTTCTTTTCTTCCCTCCATTTCATTCTCACAGCAACAACACTGAGAGGTATATTAGGCTGAGAGTATGTGACTGGCAAGTGGGCTTAAAATTACTGTTCAATTTTGAGTCCTATTACTTGAATTTGCCTACTGGTGTGTGGTATCTTTTCTACTTCAAATCTGCATACTAGAAGTGTCATGTTTTTACTCTTGTTGGCTGCTTTTTAAGTCAAAAATTGGCATGAAAATAAATATATAATATGTTACATTATGATGTGAGCTCAAATTTGTTCACTTACCACCCTTTCCCTCATCAATAAAGCAACATGCATTATTTTATCAAAAAGTTTTTAAAAGCATAAAATGACAACTGCCTCTTTAATGTGACCTTGAAGAATAATGTCTTACCATGCCATCAACATGCTGGCTTGAATTCCTTATTATTATTAACATATGAAATAACAACAGTGCTGTTGGAGATAGCATTTACAGTAAAAGTTTTCCTGATTTTGTAGGCTGGAGGACTGCAATGGGAGAGGAACCCAGGATTTAATATATATTTTTAAAAGAGATACCAAAGTGATTATGTAGCGTTCCTAATTATGCAAAAACATGTTTAAATTTCTTATACTTAATTTTACTCATCTAGCCATGGAGACAAGTAAAAAGCTCTGCAGAAAAATGCAACCTTAATACAATTCACAGCATTAAATGCTAGTAATGTGCCTTTTTAAGATATATTTCGGGATTCTTAGTGGATGCTGTTTGTGCTCGTATTATGCATCACAACATATGCATTCTTGTATGCAAGGGGATAGCAACAAATAAATACAACTCAAACCAATTCCCACTTACTTTCCTTACACAAACACTGGTTCTGCATCAGGGAACCTCTATTTAGTCAGATTGTAGCATTCTCTTTACTTACGTTAATATTATATGAATGTGAATTTTGCAGCTGAAAAATGACAATGAAAAATGCAAGTCTCTATAAAGCAAACAAATATGCTGTTCACATGATCATGCATCTACCTTCAAATGAGGTCCTCATATTGTCCAAAGACAAGGGAATACAAGAATCTGAGTGTATGAAAACTTCCACAATAGCCAATAAGGCAACAATAACATGAGACAATCTCCCTAAAAAAGAGTTTTTCAGCTGATACCTAAAGGCATATAGTAATGAGGCTAAGCAGTCCTTCCTTGGGTAAGATTTCCAGAGACTCAGTGCCACCATTGACAATGCCTTCTTCCTGGAAGACTCCTGAAAAGTTTCAAAGGAACTCAGATAAAGTCCCCAGAAGATGAATACAATGCACAAGAAGAAATTAAGGCAGCAAGTACTTGTCTTGGGAGTTAAGAGAGCAAGTTCCAATTAAGGGAGCAAGTATCAAGCCATATAGATTGAGAACAAATTGAACAGAGTCTATAAACATATGTTCAGTTGGCATGGGTTGTCTAACACTGATCTAACATAGTCCAAACACACATACATCAAATTGTTGGAAAAGGGTAACCACAGTCTGTCACCTAAAGGCTATCAAGGAAGAATTCTTAGGAATTCTTAGGAATATCCAGAACAGCTGGTGACTTCTAAATCAGTCATGGGAGTCACCAGCCTTGCCTAATCTGTCTATTTTGAGAATAAGTCCATACTGTTTGTCATCATCCACTGTATTGGGGAAGGGCAAGCCAGAACTGTGGAACCTTCCAGGATTTTTCCAGGTAATACAGCCTGTGGAGGAATCCTGGCTGCTTCCTGTGGTCACAGCTCAGAGCAACAGGGCATGAGAGCAGTGGCCTTCCCTGCATTTTTTTTATTTAAAACATTTATATCTCGTCCTACACCAAAAAACATATATCCCAGGATGGCTTACAAAATCATAAATAATAACAAAGATTATAACAATTAGTAACAACAAAAATAACCACCATAAACAACAAAAACATATCAGCAAAAGTCCAAAAAAAAAAATCAAAATCAGAAACAAAAGCAACAACAAAAACAATGGTTTAATGGTTGTTAAAACCAATTAAAATTTCTAATTCTTAAAATGACAGGTAAATAATAAAAAAGTTTTTACCTGGCGCCGGAAGGAATATAAAGACAGTGCCAGGCAAACCGCATGGCACCTCCCTGATGATAAGCTGAGTGAACACCTAAAAGAGTGGACACCAAACCTAACTTTAAATGAGAAGATAATGGGAAGAACCTGCATTCAGTATAAGATAAAATCTGAGAGCCAGTGTGGTATAGTAGTTAATAGTAAGGGACTGAAGCTAATGTGATCTGGGTTCTAGTCATCACACAGCTACGGAGTTCACTGGGTGACTTTGGGCTAGTCACAGATTCTCGTATCTCACAGGGTGGTTGTTGCGAGAATAAGACTAAGAGGAGGAGACTTATGTAGGCTGTCTTGAGTTCCATAGAAGGAAAAATGACAGGATGTTAAATAAATATGTAGCGCCCTAGGGATCAAAAATGAAGCAGGAATATCTTTCACAGAATCTAATGAAACCAACAGTCTGTGTACTAGAAAGGTGTACTTTGGGCATGCAATCAAGTGACTGTACACACAGACATCACATAGGGTGGTTGCTGTAAGGACAAGATTTGAAAGGAGGAAGAATTATGTAAGCTACCTTGAGTTCCTTCAGAGGAAAAGGGTGGGATACAAATGTAATACAGAGATAAACAAACTATTTAGAAACCCTGTTTTCATCTCAAAGCCATATACAGACCTAAGGTCAAGAAACACTATATGCGCAATGTGTATACTGTATATTAGCTTGAGAGCCAGTTGTTCCTCATATTATCATATCAACAACCAGTCTTCTAATTCAACTATATATATCCAGCACAGACATTTCCAACAACATTACAAAGATTTACAGTTAGTTTGATCTTCTATACCTACCTTTCTATATAAAGAAAACAATGATTCTTTCCTTCATTCTGCTGGAACTTCTCCTGAAGAATGAGTATAAGTAATGAGGGAAGCCAGTATCAAAGAATACCCTTCACTAATTTCCTCAAAAATTTCAATGAATAGAAGAAGATCGTTGGGAGCTGAACAGATATGCACAATCAGCTATGTGTGAGCAGGGAGGGGCAAGTAGTAAAAGTGAAAGTTAAAACTTCTGAGCAGAATATTCCACAAGTCTTTGGATCTTTTTATGCATAGTATCAGGCTTGCCATATTATTCGTTCCCTGGAGGAGAAAACCTATAGTGGCAGCAGGCCATAAAAGAGACCCAGTTTTGGAATATTCTAATGAAGTTCTTCTACCCTCGGGTAAGGCAGACGTGTGCAAAGTGCAAACACTGCTGCAAAGAAATGCAAGGCCTGGTGGACTACATGAAATAACATCATGAGCAGTGCAGTGATGAAGATGACCAATGGGATATGTTTGAACTGGCACTATCTTGAGGTTGG